ATAATACGAGGCGTGGGTCAGCGGTATAGGAAATCGCATTTGGGACCGTTAAACCCAGCCAGGTCTTAGGCCGACTGCAATATTCGATTTTGGGCTGTGGCGTAATCCACCAGTCACGAAATTGAAGACGGACTACGTCGTCATTCCGACGATTTTCCTATAAGGGACATATACGCGGACAGTCTGCGAAAACCAAACGATGATGAATTATTTTCCCTTGTCCTGCCTGGGTCTTCGTGACTATCCTCCCTTTGTATGTCCAGTGTCCTAGCGGCCCCCAATAGAATAGCTCTAAATTCCTTCGCCAACGAAATGGGCACAATGTGAAAATAATGTAAGCCAAAAGATGGTCCCTGTGGCACACGTCGGTTGTTACTATACCAGATTCCTACCGAGATGAACATTGCAATTATTGCGCTGAAATGAGTACAAACTGTCTAATAAATTAATGAATTGCATACTTTAGACAAGGTATCCAGCAAAGCCGATTCCAGTGGCGTTCGGAAATCTCCTCAAGCAAAACTGTACCCCGAAGAAGAAGAAGAAGAAGAATAAAAAAATAAGAACAAGAGGTTCATACACAGAATTTGTCCAACAATCATCGGTCTTGGGCGATTAGATGGCACTTGCGATCACCTGAGACAATACATCGGTAAAAAGTCAGTGTAAGGCTGTTGAACCTTTACTACTACAGTTGATAACAAATGCTTCTTTCATGGAATGTTGCATTTCTGGCGAGAATCGAAGGGAATTCAGAGCGAATTGTGCAGACCTCATCCCTACGAAAGACTAATTGTGGGCTGGCGCACCTAGATACGTAACCTTGCTTGACATGAAGGAAAATTTCATACTATCGTGGAGAATACTGTCATTAGGCCAGTTAAGTAAAGACGACGGAAATTAGTTAGCACTTCTGCCGGAGAAGGTCCTTGGAGCGCAAAACTTGAGCTAGTTTGCCATTTATTCTGCCCTTTTCATTTATGTCGGTTTTGACTTATTCAACCAGTTAGACGATTTTTATTCCCCAATTTTCCGCTCATTCTAGGCCTAAATTCGAGTCAACAGAAAGCCATAACCTTATAGTCTTGATGGCTCAATAATTCATGTTCAAACCACTTTATGCGCTGATCCAGTTCGTCCGCACTAAAGGAAGACGTGTCAGGTGCCCCGCCATATTTGAAGAATGTCGTCCGACAATGAGGGGGATGCGCCTCAAAACATCCCTAACCCACCTGCGAGTAACTAGTGGCTTTTGTCGTTATTGTTCTTTTAGTGAAAGTTGGAAATATGCGTGTGGCTACAAAACGCAGAGATTCGAACGAAAAAGCATTGACTTCTGCCGAATATAATAAACAGGCGGAGGAATACAACTCGGAGTATGTTTTGTAATCGCAAACTATGGTTGTTTAGAATAGTAGCGCATCCACAGCACGACTTCCTCACGAAGGAGGAGCTTGAATTTCATGACAAGACTATTCGCGACAGCCAAACCAAACCTGAGCCAAAACTAACAAAACCGAACCAGCCGGTGATGCGCATCTACCATCAACCCTAACTGCACTTTTTTGAGAAGTATTTGGACTTTTGCAATCATTAAAAGGCTCCCTGGCCTGAAATTACCTTGTTACTGCTGGGCTTTTTATTCTGAGTATGCTTTATGGGTGTTGTCTTGGGTGCAGTTATCTGCCTAGTCGGTTTATCTTCTGGGTCTTTTTGATTGACTCCGATGCCGTCATTTCTCATAAGTAGCTAGTCCCGCATGTTACGTTAGTTCCGACGTTTTCAAATTGTACGGGGACTCCAAATCAACACTTCACAACGGACCCGTCAGTAAAGAGACTCATCTCATTGCAGTCCGTGACCACCTTCATGAGTGTACGAGTAGGTCGCAACTGGTATCCCTCCGTTTCGGCAAAGCGGTCATGATCCCACAAAGCCGGTCTTTGAACATGTTTGAGCCCGAATTTGGCTAGTCTTAGCCGCCAGTATAACTGCCTAGACTTACCACACTTAGTTGGCTATACGAGTTCCGCCATCGCGTCCAACGATGTCCACCGTGTGCTCCACAGTAAAGTAAAGCAAGCACGGTTACTTGCGTCAATTAGTTTATAGAAAGGGTGGACTTGTGCAGCATCTACCGTACTCCCTCCTTTCCACCTGGACCCGATGTCAAGACAGAGTCAAGAAAACCGGGGGTGGGGAGGGCGCAGGTGGACGACGCGACCGAATCCGCACTTTGGCGCTCCACTTTACACCCCTTGTTCCACACCAAATATCTGACCAAAATTTTAACCAACAGCAGGGGGTCAGAAAAAAGAGGATGACTGGGCGGCCATGCGCACGGCCTGTGTACCCAGCGGGAGCTCAAGCTCACCCACCGCCAGAGAACCGGGTGTCGGAGAACTGCCTGCGCACGCCAGGCTCCGAGGACGATGGTTTGCTGATCACAGCATAGCAGACGCTCGCAAACCTTGGGGCCGAGAAGAATGACACATTTTTCTGGGCCATCACCAGTCAGTCAGCCACTAGAAGGCGCTATCCATTGAGTAACACACACTTCTTACATGCGTTCAACAGGTCACTTTAAGAAAGTGACATGACAGCCTACTCTCGGCCCACCAGTCCGCCACTCAACAGAAACGCACAACTGGGCAGACTGCGTGGGATGAGTTGGGACGTCAGTCGGCAGCCTTCCAAGCCATGACGCACCGCGATAGTCTCAGACTCGCATCATGCATGCAGCAGACGGAGCCGAGAAGCACACCTCCCACTTGCGTGCGATGTGGCAATTGTCATGCCTTATAAGGTATTATATTATATCTGACACACTTGACGTGTCTAGCCTACGAGCTGGACCGATGATCATGGAGGATGTCAGACTTCACAGAATTCAGCTAAAGTTTCGTATGTGTTCATGTTTTTTTTTCAAACCGAAGTTGTGACCAACAAAATCCTGCCGTACGTGTTGTTTCATTTTAAGTTTATACCTGGAGTGGTCAGCGTAGATTTTTCAAACAGGACCGCTTTGGCCCGCTAGCTTCTGTCTGCCGCAACATGTGGAAACATTTGAACCAAATCTAGCCTACAGACATAAGATACTCACATAGATGTGAATAGCATTATGTCAACGGGACTTTAGTCTGCCTGTTTGATGTTTGCGTATACAGCCGTTTTCTGCTGGGTCGATGACATTTCGGACATTGGGATAAAAAACCATCTACGGACAGAAAACAGTCTTAATTTCAGTGTACACATCTTGACGATGTTGATGTAGGACGTCGCTGCCTGTATGTAAACTGTTCCATTTGCAAGTGGAACAGACGCAATTCTGTGGAGCAAGGGAGAATAAACATGTCTGCCAATCCGTCTTTATTCAGATTCGGTTGGGTTGGCCAACTTGACGAAATGATGTTTTATTATCCTTTAAACGTGAAGCGGCTTTGGGTTTTCACTGTTTAATCGACGCCAATAAATTCCAAACTGCAGTGGGAAACTGAGGAAACGACTTCTAACCATAGAGAGCCATTCATTATTTATAAGGGAACCGTGCTAATTTCTCTCTGGCCTGCCTTGAAACCATGCATCTGGTTGAGCGTCTACTCGAACTGTGTAGTTGCTTGGCGTTTGCGGTTCACCACACTATATCCGTCGTGCGCTTAGGATTCCTATAGGGTCCGCAACTGCCACCGTTTGCACTTGGTTTAGTACACGTGCACCGAACAATCTTCCAGGCCTCATTTTTGAGCCGCCGCTCTCCGCATCTTTCTTGTCTACTCTGCTATCCTTAGTTCAGCGGCTTAACGCATAACACAGATTCGAGTAAAGAGGCTTAACAGTGGTACTGCCTTGCAAGTGACGTAATTTCAGAATTTAAATGCAGTGGTGCTGAGTTTGTTCCAAGTAAATGGTTTCCGTATCACGGTTGCATTGCCACTAACAAAAGCAGCCATGCAAGTGACAGTTGCACCAAAGCATATGAAGATTAATTTCCGTTTATCTGTAAGGCTAATGACAGGCGACGTAACGGTAACCTCGGCTGAGGCACAATAACATGCGACCAGGTTTTCCCCCGAGACAAATGTTCACAAACCCGTAGTTTACGTATTAGAAAAGGCTGAATCGCCTAGGACATTGCGATGTTCCCTAAGTACAAAACTCGGCTAGCTCCGTACTTTCATGAAAATTCCCTAACTAGCAGGTTATTTGACCCCTCCTGAATACAAATGCCGCAAAGGTGCGAGCGGTCCTCTAAGTTGTCCCCTCGGAGTTAATCACTGCAGGTCTCATGCTTCTGCTGTGTTGACTGTCTGTTTAACTGGATGTTTCCGCCTGAAATCGTTTGCAACACCCATATCTGCCTCGTTTTGGGCGTTCTGCGTGTCTGTCCTAGTTGGTGCTTTTTTCCTTTCTCAGGACGCAACCTCAGTGATTAGTGCGTCATGGATGGTTTCCGGATCGGCGCTAGGCGGGAGCGCTCGCGAAGCTCTTGGCTAACATATTTCGCGCCCCTCGCTACAGCGTTGACCTCTGAAAGCGCTAGAATTCGATTTAGTGGTTTAGAGTCGCCTAACCCCTACCTACTTAAATCTAAGACACTCGAGTTTTGATCCAACGCTTGTGCGTGTGTTGGTTTTCGTTTACCCGTTCTGGAATCCCGACGTTACGAACAAGTGTCGCCTATTCCCGTAAGTTGCAGGTTAGGTTCTCAGAAGTCAGTCTTCCCATCTTAAGGACCGAGGTAGCAACTCCTAATCTCATTTAACTGTATCCATTCACTTTTTAGATGACATACTTGGGTTAGAGCTGAGGTATGAATTGGGAGAACGAATATAGTAATGAAGTCGCTCCTCCGGTCGACGAATTGCTCAGTCGAGCCATCTATGAGAGCAAAATTTTGCCTCCTTGCCGTTGGGAGGCTTCCCTGATCATTAGCAAAGTTTCACGTGCGTGACCTGAGCTGAGGCCTTAGTATCCGTCTTGGTCAGCAGTTATTGAAGACTTTACTCCTCTTCTGCTCGGCTGCACGTAGGGGGCAGGTTTCGCAGACAGCAAAACGGCTTTAGCTATAGCCTCGTACATTTGGATCTTTCGGTGCTAAAATACCCTGCTGTCAGGCGACAAATACAGAGTCGACAGAACATGTTATACTCTTTCTGTGAGTCGTCGTCTCGTCTCCTGACCCGTCTCTATCACGGGGAATAAGCGTAGGCAAACAGTTAACCGCACACGAGGGAGAGGGGACATTTCTCGCGATGCGGAGCTGCGGCCCAACATCTTAACTCCCACATGGTTGTTCTCTAAGCTGGACTTTCGGAAGGTCACGGAAATTATGCAAGGAGAGTTGGGTTTGGTTTCCTCGAAAAGATTATAAATTAGGGCGATATCTGAGTAACTAAGGTCTGAGACAGAGAGATAGTGCCCTCCCGTGTATCATCGTAGTCGTGGGTTTCAGTTTTATGTCAAGGGAGAATTGCTGGAAGACCACAACCTCCTATTTAGAAGCGTTCACAATGCGACCGGGTGAAGTTTGCGAGTTCCGAGGATGGGTTAACAACTTTCGCGGCTATCCATGGAGAGCTTCCGTGGACTCGGTCGAATAAAGCCATATAAATGATTGCTTCCTATCGAAAATGATGCCTACTCTACTTAGCACTCATCCCAGGATGGACATTTTGTCTGTGCGGTCTCCGTCAGGACAAAAGTCCTAGTTTTCACTCGTTTTTGCATGCCTGAAGGCTCAAAGATGCTTCTAGAGGATATTTGCGACAATCTGCGTCACTGAGGGAATATTCGGTAGTTCGTCAAACCATCAACAGGAATACAGGCCTCCGGACAAACCCAACGAGAACTCCATCACAGCTGCTCATCCCAAGACCCTGCTACCGCGACCAGTGTCTAAACTCGAGCATCCGTCAGTAAAGTAACGAATCTGGAGACGTGGAGGGACTATATGAGCTCTTTCCCCCTTTATGGGTAACTTTAGGTATCCCAGTCAGTACGGCACACTTGGTCCGTCCATCAAGATCGAGCACTGTCGTCCCACATCCGTTTTTTGGTGCGAGATACAAGACGAAACGTCAGGAAGAAGGAGACACGATCGCTGGGACAAGACCACTATTAGCCTGATGCTTCGGGTTCTCACTCGAATCAATTATCAGAGACAGAGTCAGATAAGGGATGGAAATTGCCCAGGTGTTGCAATATTTATAGGACTTAGTTGCTAGGCCGCTACATGCCTGTCACAATTGGCAGCTGCCGAGTGCATCACAGCTCGACTGGCCAGTTGTTGAAGTACGCCGTTGACATGCGCTCCTGTACCGGTCAAGATTATCGGCTCCCACGCTCATCGCGCACAGTCGAGTTGCTGACTGT